CCCCCCCCCCCCCCCCACCACCAGAAAACGGAGGCAGAATTCAACTTCTGAAACATTGCAGTTTTATTACTTTATAATTTAGACGATGGGAAGAGAGGTTGATTTTTGTAAGGGATATAAGCTCTGTCTGTGTCATTTAGCGTAGTGGTACTGCACTTAAATACAGACATTTTAACTGCTTCTTTATCTTAAAAATGTTCAACAAATTTCTTTGCTACACACAACAAAAATAACTAACTCTCAGATGTAGTTATATGTAGTCAGATGTAGGTAATGGTATTTGTTCTGACAACTGCGACTTCGCGTCACTCTGTGGGTTCTAGTCCAGACAGTTTGTTCAGAACTGGCGTTGAGTGTGAAGAGCTCCGTCATCAGATAATGGAACCATCCCAACATTCGCTGGCATGTCCGTAGTCGCGGGTTTTTCGCACGTAAGCAATTCCCGATGGCATCCTGACCTTCTCAACTCCGCGCGGGAAGAGTTTGGCCAAATCCTTGTCCTGGACCTCAGGCGATACCATTACTTCCTCGCCCATCTGAAACAGCATATCATGGCGAGTTCTTTGAATTTTGAGGTTCTGTGAGTCGAGGTTCACACGGCGGTGAAGATATGACGCCATGTAAACTCGTGTAGATACCAACCTTTCGGAGAAACGTACTCTGTCTAATGTAGGGCTTTAAAGACCAGTGGTAACTTTATGCACTATCAGCATTAACAGTAAGTAAAACTGTATTTTGTATGTTTGCATTTTGTGTCATTCTCAGTGTAGACAGCGATTATTTCCATAAACATAATTAACCAGTTAATCCTTGTAATAGCGAAGTGCTGTTTTCTCTGAGGCACGACTGAATTCTTAAGTATTCAGACGAGCTTCGGCTTCAAAGGGTTAATTCTTGTCATTCAGTGAAATCTCAACAGAACCAACTGCATAAACCACAGATGTTTGAATAACAGCCCAGTATACTGTTTCAGATTAGTACTAAAATACAATATAAGCCGGTATAATTTAACTGAGCGACCAGAGTTCGATTTTCGAGTGGTGAAGTTTTCTCTCTTCGTTACCACGTCCATATCGGTCGACAGCAAGAACCTCTAAACCGTCGGTAAACCATCAGACTACACGGCATAACCAACCTAGAAGACAGCCATCTTAATACTTCCGCCGTGAGAACCTGGAATCTTACTTAGAAATTACCTTTTTAAATATGATATCCCCTGTTTTGTTTCTCAACGAAAATTTCATGTTAAGTGTGATGCTGCGTTTACCAGGTACCTATTTGAACTTCTGTATAGGCTACGTGATTTTCTGAATCTCATGACGCAGATAATTCTCGCCTCCTTGGTGGATATTTAAGCCTAACCGTCTCCTTGCAGATCAATGAAGATTCTTGATACATGAAATACGTACGGTCCAGTCGGCTGGCGTGACAACTCTCAGCCGCTCCGTTAGTTGAAGTGAGTCTATAACTCTAAGCATTTCCCTGGAACAGAACACACAATTAGTTCACATGAAGACTCATTAATTGTTTGATGATAAATTATGAAATGTGTATCATAGCCTATTTCCTTCTTCCGTGTGTTAGCATCACAAATACATATGTGGCGATGACGCGAAACCATGAAGTCACCGGTTTGTCTGACGTTTTTCAGCCGGTGGAAAACTGTTAGCGGATATTCTGCAAAGGGAAATGTCACTTCGTTAGCCTAAAACAATTATCAGTTTATAACATTCGCTTATCTATCTTAAATCGTCATTATTTCTTCCTACAGCGTCTCGCTTGTAATTTTCATCAAATTAAATTAGGGAGAAACAAAACACGAACGAAACGTTTCGCTTACGCGGTTACAACTCCTAGATAGTAATAATATGAGGACGTAAGATTCGATCGTTTTTGTGAAGAAATGCAGTAAAGTTCGTCTCATTTCGAATCTACTTTCATACTGAAAGTCTAGGTACTCTTCATAAACTTGGTTAGACGTTGAAAATCTATGGGGTTCCCCCTCATCTCCTATTGAAACAGATTTGTGTACCTTACATAATGAAGTGTTACGTCGCACCAGCTGTCAGTATCCTCGTTATATAACGTGTATCGTGCGGGTGTCCCGGGATAGCTAATTACCGTGGCAGGGTTGTCACGGCAATGCAGAGGCGCTACTGAAGGTCGCGGTATCGTGCGACGCGTACCTTGGAAGCCATGCCTGTTTGGCCTCGTAGTACAGATATCTGACAAAGCATTAAAACCTGACGACATATTTTAGAAGTAACACAAGTTGGAAAACAGCGTAGCTTGTACGAACATTTGTGACGAATTAGATTCAAATCGAATTTGCTTACGTACGTTCTTTTTAAGTACTTATTCTGACTTGTAAGTGACAATTATGAACTGGGAAGGCCTCTACCAAGTTCTGCTTTACATGAAACTAAACAACTTAACCTGCAAAACAATAGTACGAAATCATGTCGATGGCAGTTTTCTGAGCTTTTTATCCGTACTCGAAATGTGTTTCTTTTTCTTCTGGCAGCTGCTGCATTGCACGAGACGTGCAGAACTCTGTCACTGATCGTTAATTATAAGCCCTAAACATTTAGATTTTTGTATGTTCATGCGGGTTGCCATACCCTAGTTATTTCTTGCCTCTTAGATTTAATTTCAAGGGAATGGTTTCGGATAATGTGCGAATTCCTAAGCAACAGTGAAAACTATAATATAAATGTAGTCCTTGTCTATCTAAGTGCAGAATGATATCCCCAGTTGACTGTTCTTTTACCGTAAAACATAATTTAATATAATTTAAATTTGTCTGTCAGATATCAAGATCTTGAAACGCTATGATAGACCAAACATTAAAATAACAGTAGAAAAATAATTATAATCAGCAGGTACTTTATAAACAAAAAACTTTACCACTCCTGCTTTCAGCTCCGTCAGCCTCTTATCCAAGTTATGACCGAGGCATTCCCTTCGGCGTTAAGATGGCCGGAGGAAGCAGCCAACTACTCTAGAAAGTGTAGCATTTTATTCTGTCACTGTACTCTTTCAACGACTTCTGGGAACAGTGACATTTTGTTTTGTAAACAGCGTACTCTTTTCGGATAAAACAATGAGACGAGAAGAAATCTACGCGTGATAGAATCCGATGACTCCGTTTTTCAAGTTTTTGTAATGGAATCATATTTTATATTATAGGGTCGCTGTAATCTTTCTGCCCTCTACTCCCTATTAAAATGAAATTGTTTAATGTACGTTCACCGCCGTTGTATGGTCTAAGATTCTGATACATTACTAAACATTAGGCAACTAAATTTGTATAACTAAAAAATTATTTTGTAATTAGGTTAGGTTATAGTATTTAGGAACTGCAGTAAGAAATAAGATCAATTTTAAGAAAAAGTTTGAGCAGATTAAAATGTGGTGAATTCTTGCTACCATGCAGTTTCGAATATAATTTTCCCCTCTATAAAAACATATATACAGAGTTGTAATTTTACCTCTTGTTTTGTGTGGTTGTGAGAACTTCGTCTCTCACTCAAAGAAAAGGGCATAAAATAAGAGTGTTTGAGAACAAGATACTGAGGAAAATATTCATAACCAATAGGGAAGAAGTGACAGGAACCTTCATGCTGAGGAGTTTTATTACCACATCTCCTCGATTTTAAGACGTTATCGATTGTAAGACACGCCTTTGATTTAGTAATAGGTTTTCGGGCGAAAATTGCAACACTGATTTTCAATATGCAAAAAATATATAAAAATTATTTGTGTTATTATTTTCGGAATCTTTCTTGTTACTATCTTTGTGTTTTCCGTCCCGTGACTACTCTTATGAACATGACGATTTCTTTGTCCTATAATTTTTCAACATCGATTCTTAGGCACCATCACATGCAAGACGCACCCCGATTTGAGAAATTTTAAAATGTGAAAAAGTGATTCTTAAAATCGATGAAATACAGCATTTGTATTCTTCACTAAATATTATAAGGTTGATCAAATCAAGGAAGAAGATGAGGGCTGAAATAACAATGGTATATACAAGTTTCTTGTCACGAAGTCATTGCTTCTATTATGGTTGTTGCCATTAACGATTTCCAATTGCTGTACTTTGTTCTTTCTGAACTTCTCACGGAGCTGTCTTAAATTGCTTTGTATTTCTCTGCTGTTAGCTACCAATCGATAGTTCAGTGTTTCACAAACGTAACTGATTTTCCTACGACTCATTTATTCCCCGATTTTTCCTTTTACGACGGCTCGACAACGCAGAATATTGTCAGCGAACGTAATCTTTCTTTGCAATTCGAGGTCTGAATATTGCCGATGTCGCCTATTTCATCCTCCTTCATTCATCATAAAATAATATTTATTAGTGAAGAATACAAATTGTAAGTGTCCTTATTATGTAGTTTTCTCCAGTTATCTTGTACTTCCTGTTTCTTAGTAGCGCCTACAAATATATTTTGCAACACCCTCAATCTGTATTATTTCCTTACAATGGGGACATTAGACTTAAGTAAACTTTGAACTCACTGGACATTCCTGCCGGTGGTGTTGGGGTAGAACATTGACAGCTTAACTGTAAAGTCTGGGCCGATGACGTAGAGGGCCCGGATCGTGTTGGCGGCTACGGGGTCCCAGCGGTTTCCCTCGTCCAACATATCCAGCCGCACGGCAAGCTCGCGGCTCTCGTCAGAGATGATAGGGTACGGGAACTCCAGAGGGATATTTCTGAAATACGTCCTGATGTCCTGAAAAACGGGTCACTTCTTATACGTGAACAGTGGTTTCGGCTGTGGAATACTCCGCCTTCTCGCTTGGGTCTGATTATTTTAATATTAGTTAGCAGGGAATTCAGAAGGCACCGGCGAGGTGTGAACTGTTTTCACGCTTTAAGTTTGCTTACTTAACGACTCAGATTATATAAATCGGAAGGTAAGGTGATAATGAACAATGAAATAGAAATGGTATATAAGAAAGCAGTCGTGGCCTAATTTATGGTACTGTCCCAGCATATACCTGGAGAGACTGAGAAATACCACGAAAAACTTCATTCATGACAGCCGATCTCCGTGATAAGAGAAAAACCTGACCTAGACCGATGTCTTTGAAGTTAAGTATTCTTGCAGTTTGTTGGGAGGTTACACTAAATAGGCTATATGAAATGAAATGAAATCGCGTACTTGCATTATGATACCACTCTGCGTCGCCATGCAGATAGATGTGAAACGTCGTCCAATTATGAATCGCTATTATAACAAGTACGAGGGTTTTTAGCATCCCACACACACGTTTACAGAGCGAAAAGTGGCACAAGTCGATGGCTGTACACCTGCTTAATTTTATTGACTTATTTGACGTAATATGCAGCTGTTAAGTGTATTACCTACAATATGCAATTACGTTAATGTCATCACATGGCATAGTGAATAAATTACAGTATTATGAGCAAACAAGGAGAGCCTTACTCAAAAAAGTTCAAATGATTCACTTCTTCATATGGAAAGCTAAAACTGCAGGTTGTTTCAATGTAAGCAATGACGGCGGAGGATAAACTCGTCTAAATAATATTTTATAATTCAAGCCTTACCTCAATGAAAACTCAACACTTATCCATTACAAAAATCAAATAATTAATGCTATTAAGGAAATAATTCCTGACTGCACTGAGCATCATACGAAACCCATAAAATTTAAAATGAAGTTACTGATTGTTAAATCAGCTGGTTCATGTATTTATGATTTGTCTTTAAAGGGTTAATACACGTGACTGTCATTATACGCGGGGGTTGCGTTTCTGTTAACCGTCACGTGCATAAGAACGCGTAAAACGGGATATGACATGCCTGTGAATTTTCTGAGTGATACACCATGAGAAGCCTTCTTCCCTGTAGAATTTTGAGGCCCCTTTCGATAATATATGGGATTTTCGAAAACGTGGACAGCGAAAGCTCATATAACGAGAGTCACCTGTTTAGATGTTTTACCAGCTGGGTAGTCCCAGGAATCGTGGGTTACACACGACTGGACTGTGTAGCAAAAGAGTGAGCAGTTAAGACAGACGCTTGTGAAGAACTCACGTCCAGCCATATCTTATGTTTCTGCAACGAGTCACAGGAGTGGCCCAGAAGTTTCACCCCACGTCTGAAGAACTCATTCGCCTCCTGTGCGATTAGGCCTAACTCCGTGGTGCACACCGGCGTGAAGTCTGCCGGGTGTGAGAACAACACACACCATCTGCAAAATGCAAGCCATCCGTTGGCACAATTACGATATCGGAAGCTCTGATCTGTTCAGTCGAGTCGGGGAGATTATGAAAAATATTGTCGTATAAAAATTATAACTGTTTTATAAATGTGAGGTTACCACGGCAGTGAAAATGTCGATGTTTGTTCTTTCGGATTGCAACTCCGTGTGAACTTGTAGGTATATATAATCGTTTCGGAGAAACATACAACATTCATCTTCCAAACTGAAGACGGACGTAGGATATTCCTCCGAAACATTGGTATCAACTTACCAGTCCACACGGTGATACAACCTAGAAGATTAACATCAACACACAATTGTTTTTTTTATTTTACCGCATATTATTTGAGTTATTAATATCTAAACTATGATACCTTATGATTTGTATGGTGCGGAGTCGGGAAACATTCATTCAAATTAAGCACAAACAAAAGAGATGCTGCAAAATGACCCATGTATATGTTAAGGCATCTTTCCATGTAAATGTCTACCATTGGGGTCTGTATGAATTTGAAAGGTCGACATAATTGTGTTTCTGTATTTTGGAGTTTGGTTTTAAAGTTACCAGAGCATTATTCTATCATCGGGGCGATCGCAAGGTAACAAGGACCTCTGAAACGTCGGTAAACATCTACCAATCTACACGGTGCTACAACCCAAAAGACAGCCAGAGAACCTAAAAATCTGCGATACACTTACAAATCTGTAGAAGCTTGGATTGGTAATTTTTTGCGTTACAAACGCTTCAGTGACCTGTGTAGAAAGATAGATAATGTAGATTAAAAGGACTATCAATATCACCTGCTGCAGTAACAGAAGACCACGTCTATTAAACCAAAAGGAACAAAGATATTCCGAAGTCAACTGCAGTTGCAGCTGTATTTGAATGAACTAAATGTATTTACCATAAAGTAGCTGATCTAGTCATCTGAATGACTTATAAGTACTCAGTATTAATAATAACTATGAAATACCATCCAAGAATTTAATTTTCTTCTGGTTCGATGAAGAGACGTTGATCCTTCGTTTCTTGACAGAAGAACTATAAAGAGAATTTATTTACTAGCTACGATGGCAATTGGAAATGTTTACGTGAATTTTTAGTGTGGTTATATTTATTTTGTTTTCGTACTGTGAAAGACGTGACGTGAAATATGGAAACGTTTACGGGTGACTGCGTTACAATGAAATGACAGAGAACAAATTATCATTGCCACTTCTCCGAGATCGGGAGCTCCTTTGAGGGGAAACTTTACTCGCATACCTATTCAGTCTTTACTCTGTGTTGTCACATAAAAGCTGGCTGAAAGTTACTGGCCTTTACGTAGATTCGATACATTGGAAGTTTCAAATTTTCGTATCGACCAGTGAATTTGTCGCTTTGTTCGTTAGTGTGATGATGATGGAAACGAATTGGAAAATATTTTAATATTCTGGATGTGAAATGAGATTTTATACACACTGGGTTTAAACATTGTTTGATTCTCTTAGTGTCTGTCACTATATTTAACTGCGTTAGAAAATGTTCACACCTAACACAAGAGTGTTTCATAAGTTGAATATGAATAAATGATACTGAAAATAAATAAAATATATCCATATTTACATTGTTGAAGATTCTGTCACTCCATATGCATGCCTTCTTTTTTTCGTGACTACTCCGCCTTGTTACTTTTAATTAAGATAAAAGTTATGTTAGCATTAATCACGAATAATGTTAGTAATCTCAAGATGTGTTCTTGTCTTTAGACCTAATAAAATACAGTGAAACAAATTTTGATTTCTAGGTGGGAATTGAGCCGTTATTGACCTGCAAATGGCATCCAAAGAAAATGCTTTTGACAGACAACTTGCTACAGTAGTATGCAGAGTTACAAAAATCCAACAACTGATGGAAATCAGAGCTTAAAGGTAGGTTGGTTCCACACCACTACTTTTTTAGTCAGAAACTTGAGTGTGCACGGTCTACGGCTTTCGTTTATTTGCCATATGAAGACAGTTAATCTTCATAGACTTAATGAAGTTGCCAAAACATTCATCTAACTTTCAGTACTTACGATTGTCCAAGCCATTCGTGGAATTTTATTGGCCCCATCGTCGTTTCAGCCCAAAAATTCGGTACCATAGAACCTAACCTCATATCGATGTTGACTGACGCAGGAAACTCGTGTAAGAGGACACTACAGCTTCTGGTGTTGTCGGAAGTCCAAACTGTTGTGCGTATGTTAGGGAAGACTTGTTCCTTGTTCAGTCACAGACCCCTGCAGAGAGAGCGTTAACTGTTAAATAAATAGATCTCGCGTGCCTTCTGTATCAGTCTCAGTGAAGCTGTTATCTGAATGCTCTAAGATGGACCCTGTTTATCTGACGCCTCAGTCTCAATTTGTCTTAAGGCCTATCCAACGTTTGACCTTCAGATGGTATAATCGTTTAATTGGAAGGTCAAATAACTAGCCGTTTAAATGTTACGCACGCCACTTGTACAAACTTTATATATCTCTAAGACATGGTCTCAATGACTGTATTCACAAAAGATGCGTCAGTGCGTACCTGACTAAAATTTCGAACGTCACAACCTAAGTAGGCTTTCCGAACAACGCAGTTCGGTCAAGCGATACATAACTGAAATTTGTTCGTGTGGTATTCCGAATAGAACACAACACTTATGAAGCTGGATCTGTTTCTGCCTTTAGGTGAAACACATGGGGAATATCTACTCTTCTGGTTCCCTTAGAGATGGCTTCAGGCGCTGTGGCCCAGTTTCATAAGCGTCGTTTTCGTATCAGAATATTATACGACGGACTAAGACCAGGGATTTAGTAATTGTAACATACCACTATCAAAACCCTTTAGGTACTTGTGGGTTATCGGGACACGTCGCTTTAACATCTCATGCATATCCAAATAAAATATAATAATTTGTCATTATTGAAATAGAATATAATAACTTTCAAGTATATGCCATTTATCCACACACATTAACCTAACCTAACATAACCTAACCTATTTTTAAAGCGATGCGTCCCGATAACCCACAAGTACCACCTTTTATAATTGATAATTATCACGGAGAAGAGTTCCTGAGAAGTCGATAATCGTTTAGACTGCCAAGAAATCTCTTTTCTTCTGTACAATTTTAAGTTTTGCTACTGTGTCCCCAACAGCTCGCCACTGGACCAACATGAGCAACTTGAATCAAGTTCACAGCCTATTTTATTAAGATATATTTAACCCTGATAAACCCCGGTTAATCCAACCCCGGATAATCAGGAGTCTACTGTATTACTGAAAATAATATAGTGTATACATTAAATTCAAATATAGCCCACAGGCATACAACCTTGAATGTGGATGTGCGTACATGATAGGTCATGGTTTATTACGTATGGCTGCATAATTGTTTAATGTGTATGTCTATTAGTGTTTGACTGTCATAGGATCTTCGCTGTTGGCAAACACTGAGAAAGAAATTAAATTGAATTGAATTGAACCGAATTGAATTACAGAACAATAACAAAGTTTAGTCCTAAAACGTGAATGCCCTCATTTTAGCTGTTTGGATTGCGTACATAGTGGCGACACTAATATGATTATGATTTATGGATTGGATGGATGGATAGGCCTAATGATCGTGGTATTTTTAATGTCATTTGTGTGGTATGTATTTGGCCAAAGAGGAAAATATCAGGATACTCTGTCTCGAAAATCGAAAGTGCTAGCTCGAGAATACTAGAAATGCCCACAGTGGCACTAGATACACTTGTCGGAACACATCAGCTAAGTGCCATTATGTGGGATTTGTGGTTTTCACGACGGTGAGTCTAAAGAGGACTGTCTTCTGGGTTGTTGCGCCGTGTAGTCTGGTATAAGTTTACCGACGTTCCAGAGGCCCTTGCTGCTTCCATCATCGCCCTGAGGATGGAGGCAGCAAGGACCTCTGAAACGTCGGTAAACTTCTACAAGACTACACTGCGCAACAACCCAGAAGACAGCCATCATAAGTGCCACTAAATAATACGTGTGTAAGTAACTGGGTGTCTAATTGGTTGTTGTCTTTTCTTGTTAAAAACTATATCAATTCATATTAGATACATATAAAGCAGAATGTCTGTACCTTGTTTCCGCGCACTGAAATTACGGAATTTTACAACTGAATGTAAAAAATAGGCGATGCCCACTGTTCTTCAGAATTTGTAACGGATTACACATCGACGAAAATTAAAATTCGTGTATTCTGTGTATATTTTATACTGTGAAGCACCTGGTGTTTCCTTCACGCCATGACAAAACACCACAATCCGCGACGCTGCGCTGACAGCGCACCTCTGTACGTCACTGTCTGCCTGGCTTTCAGTAAGGCGGGATGCTGGAGATAAGCGCTTGGTGATGTAATACGAACGCAGGCGGCCATCATGGTGAATATAATTAATTTGCATTCAACACTGGTCGCTACAGTACTGAAGCTATCATTATGACTTTTTGTTGTAGAGCGAGTTACTAACACTGGAACAAAATGTAACTGCACTTTATCATCTCCGAACTGATATGATTATTTCGTGCTAGGTTGCGTCTTACTTACATTATGTAGCAGTGTATGAACTGCAGAATGTTAAATAGTTTCTAATAGATTAAATCGATTATGAAACTTGTTAAATGGGGTCGTTGTCACCACGAGATGGCGCGTTTTCGGGTAGATGGAAAGAAAAGGTTTATGGGGACAAGCAGTTGCGGACATCCGACAAGAGATGCTCCCCTGAGGTGAGGGCTTGGGCGTGGGGTTATCACCCCTCTACCATAAAATGTTCTCTTTCGAAACTTTTACATCATATTGGTGTTGACTGTAATGGGCCTTGGAGTTCTGCTAACACAGTGTTAGTTCAGGGTAGACTATGAATGGTGGGTCGAAAGGGTAAAGGTGAAGCTATATGAATATGAGGCTGGGTGGACCCAACAGCAGTTCTGGACGTCACGAGAAAAATCCAGCCTCTCTCGCGAATAGAATAGTCAGAACTCGTTTTAGGTTATGGTAGACTGAACTTTTAATAGTACTTTCTGAATAGAAACCGAATGTTATGTCTGAGTTGTCACTGCATTTACTTTCATTAAGGAAAATCTTTATAAAATCTGAGAATTATATACAGTGTTTTAGTCGTAAAATCTGAAGGAAATAAACCACTTGACAGGCCTAGGCGTATATGGGAAGATAATATTAAAATGATCTTTTTAAGAAACTTGATTTTTGACAGTTAAAAATAATTTTTTAGACAAATACATACATATATTTTTAGAGATCGAACACGTACATACCCGATAAAATGCATGCACCTTGAGGGGGGAAGTGAAAGCAGGTGAGAGCGCGTGCAGAAAGCATTCCTTGCCAATGTAAGACCGTTGGATCTTTCCAGGCGACTGAACTCTTCTGGATGAAGGCAACAACCGCTCTCCTACACTCCGTTAGGACGACAAAGCCCGGAGGCTGCAGGCTCACCAACCGCCCTTGGAAAATATCTCCGAGTTCAGTAACTGTAATTTCATTGCACGTTTTTCGCGTCGACTGAGCAGTGTTATAGTAACTTCGGTCTTCTAGAAGTACTTAGAAAGAGAATTAAATCGTTGCTGTTTATAAATAGTCATAGCTTGAGCTAAAACATAATTACTCAACGGAAAAGAATTTATAGGCGTACATTTTAATTGGCGTAGGTCTACTGTAACATATTTTGTGGTTCTGTTCTTGTTTAGCTCGAAGTGCATGAACTAATATGTTGGTCAGAAAGTTAGCTAGAAGAGTGTCCACTACGGTTCTTAGAACCGGAGCCGAATCTCAGGGTTTCAATCGACCGGATCTCCTTGTAAGGTCGATTACTGTGTGTAAAAGAGTCTACCACTGATCCAAATTCTGGCCCTGCTACTTTGGGATTCGTTCTAATATCAATTTGCCATCTGATTCTATCAAATGGCCCCGTACTTTCAGGTTTTCTGTCTAATCTTTTGTATGTATAGTCCCGCCTGTGATTTTGCAATAATTACTCATTGGTTTCCGAAATGAAATAGGCCTGAGTGATTAGCGGTTATGAAAACTGAGTGCACACATCCTAGAAATGTTTCGAACCCGCGATCAAAATTATCACGTTTTATAAATTATCCTTACCGACATACAGATAATCTGACGTTGCTTTATTAGCAGCTAGATTATATCTGAACTTATCTTTGTTCCCTCCGTCTGACATTCGTCAAAGAACTTAAACGTTTCTCAAGATATTAGTATTACTTATTTCTCATTTGGTCATATTTGTTTTCGCAGCTGCCTGGCCGGTTTCTAGCTCTCAGCATCTGTACCTAGGTACACAGTCTCAGTGCTTCACCTGCCGACATGTTCACAATGCAGGGTTTTGTAATCAGGCACCTGCCTTTCTTACGTTGCGTCTGTTTCAAATTGCCCTTTCAGAAATTACAGAATTACCCACATGTAACTTCAGACTAATATCTTAATTTTATTTTCTTTGGTCTTGTCACATTTCATGTATGTGGGTTCTAACTTACCTTCCCTCACAGGTACAGCGTTCTGTACAATTTCATTTCTCCCTGTGCTAACTGTGCCCAACTTAAGATGGTTGTAGTTAAGTGGTTCTTAACCTTAAGCTTAGCCAGTAAACCAAATTTACCCGTCCTCCTTTGTAGTGGACAAGATACTCCTCATTATGCAATTAGCTGAATTGAATCTTACTGTTCTGGAGCCACATTATTAGATGTGATTAATAATTCCTTTCCAAATAGGAGTCTCGGCGTTGTGTTTCCCAAGTTTCAACTTTGTATGTGCATTGGTTTGTTGCCAAGAATTTCCTTGTGTCAAGTAGGTCTATTTTGAGTTTAAAAATAAATGTTGAACATCTGTTAATTTGAAATTATGGGCACGGCCTACTTTTGTCACATTTCCCGAGTCAGAACCCCCACTTACTTCAAAGAACAAAACGAACAATTTGCTGATATAACCACGCTTCGAAAAGTTTGGACACTTCTGTTGCTGGAGAAAGTGCTCTTTCGGTCGGCTAGTCGCACGTCTGTCTCTCGGACCCATATCCTGAATGGACCAGTGCATAGCTACTCTGGCACAGGGCCCGCTACTTCCGCGTTACAGTCCACATCCGAAATGACCCTGAGAGACTGAAGTAACTTGTGCACAGCAGCTGGCAGATCAGCAACGTGATGGCACTACCTATCAATGATCGAGATGTAGTGGAAGTAGTTTAAGTTTCGGGACCAAAAGTAATATTTGCACCACAGTTGTTATATTTATGAAAATACTGTTGCAGAAGAAATACAAAGAGGCTGTAATCTGTGTAAGATTTACGTTATCATTTGCTTTCAAAATACATCGGTATTCGTGCTACTGCTGGTGGTGACGTGATGATTCGTAGTAAACTTAGAAACATCAAAATATCTAGTTGTCAGGAAAGGCCTGTAGGGTCATACACGAGAAAAAATTAATATAAAAGACGGAAAAGAAAATAATCAGAAAATATGTACTCTTCATTAAAAGTGTAGTATAGATTATGCCTTCATGCCTGCTGCTTACGTATCAGGAATTTCTAACTTGATGGGCAATATTTGAAAGCGCTTTCCAGTCCCTGCAAAGCGCCCATGAAAATGAATTTGAAGATGTCTGTCTTCTGGGTTGTAGCGCCGTTGGTAAACTTCTACCAGACTTCATATCGCAACAACCCAGAAGACAGACATCTTTATGCTTGACGTCGTAAGAACTTCAAATCCTACTCAAAATTAATTTATTCCTCCGTCTTTACGCGTGCAACTACTCGAGAACGGCTGAATAAATTTTCTTAAAATTTAATTTTGAGGAATTTTACGACAAATTGTCCAGCCACCCAAGTTTTCATTTACATTTGACAATTTTAACGACCACTTTATTTTCCTGGTGTAATACTATTAATCATTTGATCTTGGTAATGGTGACACGTTGGGGTTACTTTGAGGTATGGCAGTTTTCACTTAGGAATTCTGGTTACCATGACAACGTCAAAGCAACGTCTAGTTTTTTTGCCTGCTTCTTATGAGCTGGTTTTTTTTACTAAATTACTGGATCATTATTTTTAAAATGTAGTAAAATCTAAATTATTTTCCCTGTCTGTGATGAACGGAATTACCCACACCATACAGTCAGAGTCCATCATGAGAAACTAATAGTCGCTCATCTACTTAGTAAATTCCCCACCCTTTGTAGAACCCGCGTGTTCGTTGCCGTATTCATACCGTGGTTCCTATCCTGAGCCAAATTGTCCAGCCCACAATTTCCCATTCTGTTGCTAGGTCTTCCAAATAGCGTCTTTCGTGTTTTCATCACTGTTGCTACAAGTGAGTCCATCCAGTTGATTCATAGCACAATCTTCCACCCACCTCAAAACTTGCCACGGTTCCAGAATACCGGTGGCCGCGAAAGCCGGATTTCAAAATGGACTTCGTAGTCCTTCGAGTTGAAAAGTGGATCACGCCAAATACAAGGCCATGTGCAGTCCCCTACGCAGCAGCTCTCGAACAGCCGGTCAACCCACTGTCAACATTATCGATTCAACCGTGGTTAGGAGCGTGTACTTCTAGTTTCTACCACCAGATGGCGGACATCATATGTTACATTGACAATGTTTTTAATTAATCGTGTATTAGTATATTTAGCGCAAAATGTGTAAAGTTAGTAATAATAAGGTGACGTATATAAATATAATTTCAATTATTTGTTTATATTCTATAAATATTGTATACAAAATTTTAATTTTCTTCAGAATCATTTCATAACCCGTGAATAGATGTATAGGCAGCCTATTATGAATGGCATTCTACGAAACCAATTTGTTAGCTTTGCGCAGTGGCAATATCGTAACCAATGAGGTTTATCCGAGGTGCGATTATTGCTAGTTGAAAACTTATACCAATACCCCGCCAAGGCGACGTGAAATATCGTCGGCTTCGGCAATTTTTGAAAGCTCCTACGGGAGCTAGTATTCTTTCATAGTAGTTACGTAGTTTTTGTTGCAATTTATTTTGATTGCATTAGCTTTCAGTTATAAATTAACGAAAGTAGGCTGTAGGTCTATAGCTAAAATCTACGATATATGAAATTTTCAAATTAATATTAAACGAATAGTCAAATAAGAATAATGATGTTAACATTAAGATAATGGTATGAGAATATACATTTAAAGAGAAGAAATTGATCCGGTCAACTGATAACTGAGCCCATAACGAGAAGATTTTTCTTAAACTCTGAACATTCTTACATGATGAGTTAATCACTTGACATTCAAAATAAGTCTGGGTATTGCAAAATCGGTGT